TTGTATGAACATCTGGACAGGAGTCTTTGGTTTGGTGGGTTCGTCTGTCTTCCCTTTCTTCTTCATCTCTTCTTCTGCAAAGTCTGGGTGCTCTTGTCTGGAGGAACGAATGAGAGGTTGATGGAGAAGACAGAAGAAGTAAAACGGATGGAGAAAGAGTAGAAAGATCACAGCATGGTTCAAAGTGTGAATAACTTTGCTGACCATTGAATAAGGAATCCACTGAAAATATGTTCACGGAAGTATCTATTAAACAAATAAAAAAGTTCCATAGCCTTACCTGAATCTGACCATGTTGGCTTCATATTCTTCCCTTTCTTTCAGATACTGCTGCATGTATTTGGCCTGAAATTATGATAAGATCAAGCTTAATAAAATTTCAAACATAAAACTTTAAAAAATGTAGTACTGAACCTGTTGTTACACTACACACAAAGTTAAAGTATTTTTAAAAATTTTGGAAAAATAAAGAACTACTAGAATTGTACATGATTGTACACTTAGGGATATGTAATTAAAGACAAGGTACATGTACTAAAAAATGTTACTTTTCAAGTGCCTTTAGTTTACTACAACATGCTACACCTAACACATACATGTAAAAGTCATGTAACAAACACTAAACGAATCCTTTAAAAAATACATCATCATACTCAAAACAATAAAAAAAGAAAACCAACCTTCTTTCGCTCCGGTAGCTGCTTGAACTTCTGAGAGAGGTTTTTAGTGACCTCTACCGTGTCCATCTCTGGGTGACTCTCGGCGTACTTCTTACGTTTCTCAAGGAAGTAGCGGAAGTACGGCGTCAACGGCTTCTTAGGCAGGTCTGGGTAGAGCTGAGGACAAGGAAAATTCTTGGGTGAGAACCCTACGGTGCACCAAATGATCTCCTTGGTTCTTGGATACTTCCAAGAAAAAAGCTAGCTCTAGATCAACATGAAACCAGAGGGTTGGGAGAAAAAATTTGAGTGTGTGTGTGTGTGTGTGTGTGTGTGTGTGTGTGTATGTGTGTGTATGTATGTGTGTGTGTGTGTATGTGTATGTGTGTGTGTATGTGTGTATCGGTGTGTTTTGGTGTTTGCGTGTGTGTGTCTGTTTGTGTGTGTGTGTCTGTGTGTGTCTGTGTGTGTGTGTGTGCCACTAGTGCACTGTGTTCAGAATTTTAAAGTACAGACCTTCTAGTTCAGAAGCATCTTTCAAAATCAAATAATTCTTGTAGTACAAGTTGTACAATATGCTGGGCAGAAATGTTGTTTACTGATTGTTAAGTATAAACTTCAACAAATTGAACTGAAAACAAACCAGTTTAGCAACCAGAACAGAAATTGTGGGAACCGAGAAAGTAACCATGAACTAAAGGCAGCACATTTACCCATTCCCGAATGTAAATACTTTTTCTCATCTGGAGCTACGAAAAGAAGACATGGTTGAAACGTCAAAAAAATTTTTCTAAAACAGAACAATCTATACTATAGACTAGTAATAGGATTATAAAAATGTTTCTATCCAAGTTTTGTCCTAAAATTAAAAATCAATTAAATATCATCTGATTTAAATACAAGAGAAACTTGGGTAAGTCTGAGTCATATTGACTTGTTCATTATTTTTGATGAACGCAAATTATGCCTAAAACATGGCAACCAGATATCAGCACACTTCGCCCCCTTACCCATAGTGCTTTGCGACCTTTCGAGTCCTAGAGACAAAAAAAATAGCAGCATTAAGAATGTATGGTAACAACAAATCAATTACGTCTAGGAAAAAATGTTGTGTTTCCCGTTTCAGTCGTGAAAAAGTTAGGGTCATTTGGTAGGAATTATCTTTTTTTATGTATTAGACTTTGGCAATCTCTAGTGATCCAACTTGTGATCCAACTTATACGATACGAGGACACTTATATTTTTAATGTCAATGTTGGAAAACCAATTGTACAACATTTTATATCACTCAGGTGTCAGATCATGGAGCTAGAAAAGGTTGACCAGCTCGAAAAATGTATGTCCCTTGCAGTGGTTCACAAAATCAAAGGCTACATTTGTAGCTCAAATAAAGTTTCAAAGTTTTGTCTAGGGTCGGTTGGGAAACAGGAAACACAATTTTTTTTTCCCCTAGGCTCTCTAATCAAATTGACATTGGCCTGTTTGAAACACACACATGCACAGACACACTGACGACATTCGTGATGACGTTAAAATGTTTTCTGCAGCTACTCACCTTCTCTGGTTTCTTTTTGTTGTCGAACGGATTCTTCAGCCATTCCTTCGCATCGGCTATGAGCTCTGACATGGTGCGGAACTTTCGAATCTGAAAAAAAGGTGAGAATTAGTGTTAGGTTCAGGTCCGGATTCAAGTCCAGAGGTTTAGGTTCAGTTCCAGACCCGTAAGTCCGGACCTAAAGCCATGGCATATACAAAATTGCATGTTGGCAACCTTGCCATGTTGTATGGACAAAACTGTGGCCAAAACTGTGGCCGACACTTGACAATGCCCGATGGCAATGTTTTCTTCATTTTGCAGCACGGATTTAGCAATCTATGGAAGGTTTTAGATGGTTTGGAAAGAAAAGGGGTATGTGACATGTTTTTTTTTTTTGTAATTAGTCTGGAACCGGTTCTTGACTTTTAGGGGTTTTTTTTACTACAAGTCCGGAACCAGTCCAGCGAACCGGTACACAGCACTAGTACTGCTTCCTTGAACTTGTCAGCCTATGGGATTTCGGGTATGGCTGGTGAAAACAGTCCAAGGAAAGTAGGAGCATCTGTAACAGTCTTTGTGAGATGGTAGTGACTTGTAGGGTTTGAGTGTTGCAATTGGCGCGGTGCAGGCGTAACCTTAGTTGCATTGGAGAGCTATTTTATTCTTTATGTTGCTATGCTTGCTTTGAGCATGCCAGCAGGCTTTTTTTTAATTCTTAATTCTTTCAAACATTACTTTCTGCATTTTGAGGTGCAAATTTTGAGGAATACAGGCTGCAGCAGAGATCTTTGATGGACCTACTGTACCTCGTTTGAGATTTTCTGCCATTTCTCCTTGCACTGTTCGCCTGTGAAGCCTCCGAACATATAGCGTTATACATGTAGGACATGTACACACCCTTGCTGCCTAACTGTATAATGTTTGGTTCACAAAATGGTTACCTTTACAGACCAAAGGTTATCCTTACCTCATTTGAGATTTTCTGCCACTTCTCCTTGCACTGTTCGCCTGTAAAGCCTCCGAACGCCACATCAGACCAGTCCATCCGCTCCTCCCTGGTTTTGAACTTTACCATGTCGTCTGGCGGCAAAACTTTACCGATCCTGTCCAACAGTTCCTTTGTCGTGTCAAGATTCCACAGCTCTGCAGACAGAAGGAAAGCGATTGCGATAGTGATCTCAAACCACTAAAGAGCAGAGTTCTTAATGCATTTACAGTACATGTAGCCTCAAAAGTTAATTGTAAAAACTTAATACCTACTAACTTCCAGGTGGCTACATTTCTTAAGCTTGGGTGAACAACAATGAATATTAACAACCACTGGTGTGTTTCAATGACTGTCTGTCATCTTTATCACAGCAGTGGTTCACTGGAGCTAGGTGTTACTGGTTTCTAAAACATTGGCTCTTGTTTAACATGTGGTTGTAAAAAAAAAAGAGCATTGCCATTCAATCCTTCTCTTTTCCTCTGTCCCTTGATATTTCCCCAACACAGGCCTTTCCTCAACATTAAATATGAACTAATGAAGACTTCCATTTTTAAGGACCTGGTGACCCACACCCACCTCCTTCCTGCGCCTCCTCCTTGACCTTGACCTTGAGTCCGTTCACCCCTGCGGCCATGCTGCCTGCAGTCTTGGACCTGGCACCTTTACCTGCAGGGTCAAGGTCATCATGACAAGGATTGAAAGATTCATGTCTTCCAAAAAGGCTATCTGTCATTGCCTTCTTTGGAACATGTATGCACACACACACACACACGCACACACAGACACACACACATACACAGACACAGACACACACACATACACAGACAGACACACACACATACACAGACAGACTTGTAAACAAACCTAAAGAAATACCTCAGTCTCTTTGGATAATGTAATATACAAATGCTTAAGATTGTTTGGATACTAGTAGGAACATGTACTTGTTGATCAAAAGGTAGCATTGTGAATATTTATTAAGTTCTGAAAAACGATTATTCATTTCTTTCATGCCGTGCAAAAACATTATTTTCATAACAGCAATTTTGACTTCTACTAAGTTCTAGCAACAGACTTACTGGGTGAAGCAGAGCTTGCTCCTCTCTGTGCTCTCGCAGGCGAGCTGTGACTTTCTGTGGACCGAAAAATAACAGGTTTTACAGTAAGCCACAATCCTCAATAGTCAATAGTTCCTTAAACCCAAAATAGTTGCAATATGCTGCAAATTATTATTGGATTGGAAACTGTGGACAAAAATTCTTTGTGAAAAATATTTGTGCAAGGGTTATTTTTTCAAAACATTCAAAGATGTCAAAATTGCCAAAATGCAAGCAGCTTAAAATATTTCTGCCATCCCAAGAACAAATTCAATTATTTCTGCTATCTTAAGATTAGAAAATCCACACTAAACAGAATTTACACAAGTATATTTCCATCCAGCCAACCTCTATATTTGCAAGGACCCCCAATGTCCCATAATATGGGTCAAGGTAAAAGATATACTCTCATAAGTTACCAGTGTAGCAGCGCAGGCTTAAAACTCGCATGTTCTTTTAGATATCATATCCATCTACTGTAATTGCTGATTTTTTCACTGTACTGTTATGTTCACTGTTTTCACTGTCACTTCTGTTCCGTGACCATATCATTACAGTTAACAAATGATTCCTGGACTTTCTTTTTCCTGCACCTGTCACCGCCGTGAATATATAGCACACATCCATTTTTCTCAGACCATGAAATTTTGCTACCGTGAACATATGATAAAGTGAATTATACTATTTCCAGGCTGGATGATCTAATGTTGAGCTTCAAAAAGTATGACAGACTTCAAAGCACTCCAACCAACACTGCATGGTATATTTAGAACTTAAGATTAACATAATCTATGTAACTGTTTCCCAACTCACTCTAAAATCTACCAGAATTTTCAATAAGAGAATTTTTATGAAATCACTTTTTGCTTAAGGCAAGAAAACAACATTTTACATGGCAGCGTATAGATGAATACTTTCAAGCAGATGTTATAAAACCTAGTTTCACTCTGGGGCCCCACAGATGAAAGTGATTATTCAACATGTAGATTGTATAGGCAATACAATGGAGCTCTGCATGAAAGGGGTGAAGTCTGCCATCTCTGATTGCCTTATTAGGTAAGTGGTGAGGTCAACACGAGGTCACATGAAAATAGGGTTGTGAGAAAAATTTGACTGTATTGTATTTTTTACATGAAACATCCTTTTCAGTGAATTTTCCAAGTACAATATCTACATACATAAGAGCCTATATATAGATTATATAATTTGGACCGGGCTGCTCTTTGTTTTTTCAAGGACAATTTTAAGCTTTTGTGTTTTCTTTTAAAAAAGGATGCCTTCAAACATTAAAGACATCCAATACATTTTAAGGGAGGCAAAAACTTGAAAAAGTTGGGATTTTTTAAGTCCATTTCTGGTCATTCTTAAAGTTGAATCAATCCTATCCCATAGCATACTGATATCTGTGAGGGAAAAATATGAAGTCACTGAAGGAAAACGGTTGCTTACTAGTATTTTTTATCGAAGGCTGGTTCTAGCTGTAAAAAAATGAAGAGATACTATTTTGAGGCTCTTTCAAATGCTGCATGTATTAAATAATGACAAAAATGTGCTAAAAAATGGCAGTAAATGTCAATATCAGACAGATTTTCTAATCCAAAATAGTTTGTTTCGCCACCTTGAAATCACATAAGATGCCTTAAGCAAGGACATGTAGCTAGCTAGTTCTTTTGTTCTTTTAGAAAAGGTATGTCTAAATACTCTATGTCTTAGAGAACTGACTACTGTCAACACTCGAAAAAATAGCTTTTTGAGTGTTGCAGAGCAAAAATCCGGATGGTACCCAGGCTAAGTATTTCGAGCCCTGAAATGTTTCTCATGTGCTATATGGAAATGCATCTATCAATCATGTCTATCATATGGGGCTAGACAGCTGTACTATGGAGTGCACTGTACAACTGTTTATATTTTATGTTCATAGGGCCAACAAAAAACAATATAATATGCTTACATCAAGTTACATGCATTTCTAACTACTAAGCACCAGGGTTTCTTGGTTTGGTTTTTCTTTTAATGCCCATTGATCATGAAAATCATCATTCTGGCATACTCATGAACACATGAGGAAAGTTGTGTACAATTTGCCTTTCCCAAGGGCACAAGGTTGGTGACACATGGCAGGATTCGAACCCGGGAACTTTTGGTTCTGAGCCGAATGCTCTGCCGTTATGCCATGCAACCCCACCATAATTGTTCGAAACATTTTTCTTAGTGGGCAACCTTAGCCAAGAACTAGGTTGCCCATCTATATTCCAGGTTGCTGTCAACCCTCAACACTGGCTGTTTATTTTAGAAGGCATCAGCCATCACTTACAAGCCAAACCACCTGTAAAGGTATTGCTCACATAGACTCATGCATTTCAGAGGACCGGGCCGCTGTAAACTTCACATAAACTTCAAACTTCACAAACTAAAAAGGTTTCCTCCGTAAATAATTCCATCAGGTTGGTGACCGAATGAATAGCAACGTTCTTTGATCACAACCATTTATTTTTCACGAGCCGACGTTTAGATGACCGTCTGTCATCTTCATCAGGGCAATTCTGACTGGTTTACTGTGCACTGACACTTGTGTTTTGGTTTGTGTTTTTGCAAAAAAATCATAAACAATAACTTGCATTACCGAAAACTTGCGAAGCGATGACTTGCGAAGCGAGAGTGCGTATTTTAAAAACTGACACCTATTAATTTAGTCTGTTTGTTGGTTTACTTTCATGATGATATGATTATTATTTGTGTAAGATGCTTTATTTCCTACTAGGAATCCTAGTAAGAGAGCAGATTTTAATTACAAACTTGAGTTTTTAATTGGCAGTAAAGATACATTACATGATTCTGTAGTACAGTGGTCATACATGGTCCGGTGATGGAAAACACATTTGTCGTGTCATGAATTTTTGTAGCCACCTTTCCACACCAAAAATAAAACCTTTGCAAATGTTTCAAAATTTGTAGAACATGGCAACAAAACACTAAAGACTCATAATTGCAAAACTCAACGACTGGCTAATTTGACAAATTCCTGCTATTTTTCCAACAACCTACCCATTCTAGTAGAGACTACATTCTCCTCACACAATGTATTAAAAAAATATCTGAGATATCATGATCAAATGAAGTACATTTTGTCCCTCTGGACTGAAAAATACAATAAAAATCATCTGTATGACCAAGTAAAATAAATAGCCAGGTGTCACAGATTTTCTTTTCCTTGTACAAAATAACAATTACAACAGATCGCGAAACAGGCAAAGACAAAGAAAAATTTGGAACAAAAACGTGTAAACTACAGAGCACATGGTAACTTTTTGGTACATTTTCAAGGAAAAAATGCACACATATCAAGAAAAAACTGCAGTGCCATTTTTTTCTGGCAACAATTTCAGGACTTACAGTAACTGACTGGTCATTTTTCTTCAAACAAATGCATTTAATGTGAATCAAATTCCACATTACCAACACATAATCACAACAATCCCACAATATATCCCTTCTTCCTACCAAAATGCTCAAATCAGGCCACAACAAATAAAATAAAACAATTATCCCCGCCTAAACAAACAAACAAACAATGTGGCATAATTGTAGCAACACACACGTGCTTGCTACACTGTGGCCACGCGTTACCCACGCCACCCCCGCTTTAACAAAGTCCCACTACACCACAAAACCCTGAAAAATCACCCAAAAATGACAAAATAAGAGCTCTAGACCCGGATTTTCTTGTAGGAAATTGGGAGAGCGAGGGGAGAATTCCCTAGCGGGTGGACCAGCGGCGCCGGGCGGGGTTTGCGGGGTCCTTCGGGCGACTAGTGCGTGACCATGTCACCGGTACAACAATCCGCGGCGCCTCCCCAAACCTCGTGACCAAGCCCGAAGCCATCTTGATTGACACACCGGCCCGCAGCCAGCTCGAAAATGGCCGAAAACGAGCTCGAAACGCGGCGTTTTCGCCGCCCTTTGCTCGTGAAAGGATATATAAAGTGTGAAATTAAACAATTTCTGCAGATTTGGGTCAATTTTTGTCGGGAAGGGTCGGAATCGGCGCGCCCGAGTCTGAATGTTTTCGGCGCCAGGCGCCGAGGAACCCGGATTGAGCGAGTCGGCCAGGCCCCGTATGGGGTCATTTCGCATCGATAATCAGCCGAAAAAAACGCCAAAAAACGAAAAGTTCTGTCAGAATTTCCGCTAAACGTTGCAAATATTGCTCCTAGGGGGTCAAAATGGGTCTGGGTGGTGGATTTGGGTGGGGAAATGGGGTAGAACGGTGGTCCAGGGGTGGTCGGGCTCCTTCCCCGAGGAAATTTATACTACGAGACGGTATCCAACATGGTGGAAGGTGGAAAGACAACCAAAGCGGCAAAAAGGAGGAAGCGGATTTTCCAACCGCAAATTCCGGGCGAGTTTTCCTCAGAATCTAGGAAATTTTCCTCAGATTTTTTTCGAGGAGGTACCGGGGTAAAAATTTACCGTGTGGGGTCGACGTGGGTTCGGAGGAAAGCGAGGGAAATGCCGAAGAAGAGTCACTGAATAGCGCGATCAAAGATCGGTCGTCTGGGAATGCAAATCCCTCGGCTGCTCGGAAAAAAACGCCCGGGACAACGCTAGCGCTGAAAACCGGCGCTTCTAACAGCGTTCCCTAGCTTATAGACACTCTAGTCAAGAAATTTTTCCTCAGAAAACCACCTACCGTCCGTCTCGGAGGTTCTGTCGAGCCGGTCCGAGCGAGTCGTCCGCTTCTTCGCCTGCTTTTTCCCCGCCGCGGGCATCAGGGCTTCGCCTCCCGCTATGAACCCCGACATGGCTGACGTAGTGCAACCCCACCCCGCCTCGCGACGCCGAAAAACGGACGATTTTTGCGAGATTTCCCGGCCGTTTTCTTTCGGCGAAGTTTCTCAGAGTTTTCTTGGGAAGTTTTATATTTCTAAGTTTTCCACCTGTCAAGTATTTTTGTTGAATTTTTTAAAATTTAGGGGAGGAAGTCGCGGTTGTGCGCACGCCCAGGACAAGTCTCGGCCAATCACCGGACTGCGCCGTGCTGCAATACCGGCAATCTCCGCAGAGTGTCCCCACTGCATGGTAAAGCGCGGGAAGTTCAAACATTGCATCTCCAAGCAGATATTCGGCGGAAAAATTAAAATATTTTGGCTGGGATGTTTGCCTTTTACAAAACTTTGATGTGTCTAAAATTGCACGATTTTTTTCTCAATAACTGGTTCTATTGTAGAAAAACAACAACAGCAAAATAGCACTTCATTTTAAAACCAATGCAACTCGGTGTAAATGGTACAACTCATTCAAGAGTAAGAATATGTATGTAACAGTTATGTTTATAGGGCTTAATAATTATTACTTTTGTCTGAGCCTTTGTTTTTTTTTATTACATACTATCTACATGGCCGCTTTTCAGGGTCAACCAAAGTACAATAGAGTCCTACTTAAGCCATAAACATATAACACATGTAACGTTATTCGCACAGTGTCTATTTGCATTCATAAAAAAATAATAAACGCATATAGCAAAATCTGTGGGCGATATTTTTCCTCAGATTGTCTAATTAATTTTAGTCGTAAATCTAAGGTAGACATTGAGTTTACTCAACCAAACGGCAAGTCTTTTTTTTTTCAGTCACCTTGTAGCTAGCCTTGTAAATAATTATACCTCGGAGGCTACCATCCACCCTTTGGTCATACTTTACGCCCAACTAAGTGTGACAGAAGTTGCTTGGTAAGTTTTTTGACCGGGGAGGGGCCTTATTTTTCGCAAATGGTCTACACCTGACGCCACTTTTTCGACCATTCAGGGTATGTGAGGAAATGTAAGTTAAGTATAAGTATGATATTTATTCAACAACCAGTTAGTTTTCAACTTAGTTGAGTTCGTGTGTGAGTGTGTATTTGTGTGTGTGAGTGTTTGTGTGTGTGTGTGTGTGCGTGTGTGTGTGCGTACGCGCGCGCGCGTGTGTATGTGTGTGTGTGTATGCGTCTGTGTGGCTATCTGTAATGTATTCTCTCTTAACAACTCTGCATTCTCTGATTGCCTTTCCATGCATCTATTATAAGAGTTGAATTTGTTTCAGATTGGCGTCTGGATAGAGGCAACTGTTGCTCCAACGTGATGTGGCGAAACGACATTGTTGTGGTCGTGTTGTTTGTACTTTCTGTCATGGTTATTTCAGATAGATACTTCTTCGAAAGCAGTATTACTACAAGTAAGCCTACGTTTGTTTGTTTGTTTGTTTGTTTGTTTGTTTGTTGGAACCTTTGTTTATTTAAGAAATACTTATTTAAGAAATTTAGACGATATTCATTGAGGTCAGGGTCAGGTCAAGGACGTTCTATCTTGTAGAATGCCCTTGGTCTGACAAAATATAACAATATACAGGTTACATGACTAAAGTCATACCGAGTGTTACCATGAGAGGTCATCTGTGTTGGTAAACTTCATTATAACAAAAAGGGCTAAACGTTCTAGCCAACACTAAGTAATTAATTGGGACTTACCCCAAATTTTTGACTGACTCCGTCAGCCTTGTTCACGGAATGGACCCTTCTACTGCAGCTTCCTGGACGTGACGTCAGAAACACGTTATTGCCATGCAAGTGTGGTAGCAATTTCTGCTAACGACCCTTGATTGCAATGAGTTTTATTGATAAAGACATTTCCTAATTACAATATCCTGTCCTAAATGTCTCTAAATATTTGAATTTTACAGACTTTTTGCAGGCGAGAGTATGTATCAAAACACCAGTGAGTGGTCTTCAGAAGAGCAGAAGATGTCGAGTCGGTTATGTCTTGTCAGAATCGAAAGAAAAACGTCTTCCACTACACACGTTCAAGCAAAATTACAGGTAGGTTTCTTCCCGAGAAACAATTGTCATTCCTTGACTTTTTAAAATTTCTTGTCAACAAGAGTTTAAAATATTGTCTTAATATTTTGAATGTAAATAGGCCTTGATAAAGCCTCTAAATTATTCAATTTTTGGCCACCTACCAGCTTGTTCTTAATCGTTTTCCACCATGCAAGGACTAAATGTTGATTTTTATTTTTATTTTCCCAGAGACAACGGAATTGACTTGATAAAGGTAAGATTCTTTTGAAACCAACAATTGATGAAATTAGGTTTGGGTAAAAAAAACTGATTTAGTTAGCTTGTTTTATTATGCGTAACGTCAACGTCATTCAGAATTGCATGTATATTTTGTTGATTTTTTTCTTGAATAAATAAATAAATACATATTTTTGTAAAAAAAGAAGCAAGCCCAAGGCATCCGTTGGATTTAAAAATAATAAAAGAACGTGTCTCCTTTTCTTCCCAGGTGTACATAAACCGCTCGGTAGCCACCCAGGGCCCCTTTGACGTGATAGTTCACGACATGACGGATATCGTCCGCCTGGCCACAGACGAGAACAACACGGTGGAACTGTTCGTCTCAGAGTTAGAGGTAAGACCGAGACAGCTAGTTTTTTTTTCTTATTGCTAAAAGTTGGAAAGAAATATTAAGGTACAAAAGATTTTCTTTCTTGTTAAAAAGTCGACTTTTTTCCCTTGGTCACACCTTACTTCGGGTAATAGGATTTTAGAAATTTGATTAACCGTGTAAACGTCTTTGGTACCCCTGTTATTGCATCTGAATTGTGACCGTTCTTGTCTTTCGAATCGTCTTCGAATTGTGAATATATATCAATACATCGATTAATCGATCGATTTATTAGTTAATTCTTTTATCAATCGGTTTTGCAGGACTACATGGCTCGCCACCCGCACATGGTAGCAGTGAACCAACTCGATTATATTTCGTTTAGTAGATAAATTATCAAATAAAGAATTTATCAATAGATTGGTTTATTAATTGATTGATCGATCGGTTTTGCAGGACTACATGGCGCGCCACCCGCACATGGTAGCGGTGAACCCTCTGGCCTCCTGGCGGCTGGTGCACGACAGGCTGGGCGCACAGAAAGTCGCGAAGGAAGTGGTGAGCCTACTCAACGGTACGGCCAAGTTTTTACCAGTTTTCATGTTGTAAAAGATAATGGTAAAGTTGGTAAACTGTTTCAAATGAAATGCACCAATTGTACATTCAGAAGGGTCAAAAAAGTTATTTCTTGTGAATTGCTTACCATTTAATCTTTATTAAATTTTGATCAACCTCCTCATATTGCCTTACGGAATTCACCGGATGCACAAACGTAATCGTTGTTTTGACGTATATATGGTTTTCAAAAATCCCGGATCTACTTTGTTATGAGTATACTTTTTCTTTTCTTTGAAGTCTTATATTTTTGGCACACCGTCAACATATTGTCGTTATATTTTCAACCCTTGTTCAAGCAGACCCAGATGTCCTCGTGCCAAACAGAGCGTATCTAGAAACTACCGGAGTTGAGAACATGATAAAACATTTGGAGCAGGAAGGAGTCACATTTCCATTTGGTAAGTAATATATATTTACGTCCTCGTACAGAAATATTATTTCGGTTTGCTACTGAATATTTATAACATCCAATGCATCATACATTTTTTGTAATACATACACGGCAAACTGTCTATGTTAACACTTATTTTGATTTCTGTTGTCCAGTTTGCAAGTCGTCGTCTCTCCTAGCACATTCACATCACAGGGTATGTTTTTTTCATACTAGTTATTTGATAAACTGAGCATACATTTTGATTAATTGTGCATCAAGTTCAAACTATTAGCTACTAGTTATTGTACTTTCTATGTTTGGTTCTGTTTTTTGTTAGCTCGTCTGTTTTACATCACAGTTTCATAATTACTTCTCGTTAGATTTTACTGCTTACAGTTTTAAGAGAAACGTGTAACCGAAACCTAAATGTTACCCAGCCATTTTTAACTTAAAACATATAATGTACGAATCATATAGGATAATTGCAAATCATAAACACAATAGAATACGGAACACTTACCTTTCAATGCCTGATCTTATGTTGTTACTTGTGATGAACATTTTCAGATGAAGCTAGTGTTTGGAAGACGCGGGTTGGAGGACCTAGATCTGCCCTGTGCTGCCGAGAGCTTTTCAAACCATTCAGGCATTCTTCATAAGGTCGGTGAACTCACCTGTGTTAATCTCCAAGCAGATCTTTCGTTGGCTGTAAGGCCGTATCAATATTGGCTAGTCAGTATCGCTTTGCTAGGCAGTAACCATTGGCCACTTGAAGGTTTGGCTAGCATATAAAAAAATACCAGTTTTAAAAAGATAATAATAATAAGTTGAATCCTTACTGACTGCTTGGAAAAACTCAGTTTTACACCTGTGTTTTTTGCCATCATTACTTCTGGAAAGGAAGTATTGGTTTGGGTCGCACTGGTTTAGTGGGAGTTTGTATGTTTGGGTTCCTTTTGTGTATACCGTTTGAGGCTTGGATTCAATAACAGTACTGGATGAATGTATGTTAGGTGGATTGTTAAATGGATATAAGAAAGAACAAGTTAACCTATTGACGAATGAATGAATGAATGAATTGATTGATTGATTTTTACTTCCACAGTTATACGTGATTGGAGATGCTCATTTCATCTACGGCCGCCCCTCACTAAGGAATTTCGCAGCGTCCGGTAAGTTTTGCGTGTCGTTCGTTCCTTGCCTTTTAATACGCATCTTGTCTTACCTTAGTGTCTATCTTACCAATATGTGTGTATGATGTCTGGTTGCCCTACGCTATCCATACACATGATATCAAGTAACTTGGACAGATTTAAACCTTGTTAAGGCCAAATGGCAACGTTGTTTATCTTTATTTTCTTCTACAGATGATCTTCCCAATGTTGAATTTTCTACCTCCGAAGTTGCCAAATCCAATTCAGTGTCTCCATTAAATGCTGTAAGTATTTTTATTCCAACATTTATTCCAAGACATGGCGACGACACGCTCGAGTTTTTCTAACTTATTTTATGCCGCCACCAACGCAGACAAACGCATGAACAGACAACAGACATACTCATTTTCACCTGAGTAAAGTGAGTAACTTTCTGTTAAGTGCCTTTCCCAAGGACA